CTGGAGGATCTTCTCCACAAGCTCCTCAAAGGCACACTGGACGCCATCTTTGGTCTTTGCACTGGCCTCTGTACAAAAGAAAGAGGATTACTCAGATTTATCAGCAAAAAAACCTGGTAGAAAACATGAAAAATGACCAAAGAAATTCCCCTTTAAACCCAAAACAGGACAATATATATATTTTTAGGATACCCTGTCGTAAAACTTAAAAATATTTATCCATGTGTTGCCAATATGACTTATTGAATAGAAAATGATTTCATTTTAAGAAGCCAGAGTCATATCCAGTGGGATGAAGACATCATGACAGCGGATTTATCCACAACATCTTCGCTGCCCAACCCTTTTTCAAAACCCTTAATTTAGCTGTTCTAAAATGGAAACTCTGCAGAAACTTTAACGTAATTTCCCAGAGAGGGGCAGATAGGCGATGGGAATCAGGAACACGTGTAGACATGGACCCGATAAATGAAAGCCCGCTAGATTTGAATCATAATGCACTTCTTTTGGAGCGTCTCGCAACGCTAGAGAGGCTCCAAAATGCCAAAGCCGTATAAACACAAAACAACTCAAAAATAAACGCATGACTTACTAAAGTGATGTTTTGACTTATTTTGGTCCAACTACACAAGTACAGTTCTGCCTTTTAAGGACAGTAAGTTTGTTTTAATGGCTTTACAGTAAGCCTCATGTTATGGCTCTATGAGTTTATATGAGCATGTCTGACATGTATACTTACCGATAAAAAGCATAGAGTGTTTCCGAGCAAATTTCAGGCCCTCGCTTCTATCCACTTCAGGGTCGTCCTGAAAAACAAACAGACATCCTATGTTATTTTCTCCATGAGGAATACACATGTTGACGGATTAAAAGTCTTGTTCTGCACAAGCAAAGGACCTATTTTTTGATTCCCAAAAGAGGTAGGAGGAAATATAGAAGCAAAGGTTAACATTCAACTAAACATTTTTTTGTGTTCTGCCCTGAGAGGTCTTTCAGTGGAAACAATAACAAAATACAGAGTTTGGTGGGGTCATAAAGTAGGATTGTGGAATTTGTTGTTGACCAATCAGGAGGTTTTTAGAAGGAGCAGAATTATCAAAAAAAAAGGTCTCCTTATTTCCAAAATAAAAAGGACACAGTGAGCATAACTGGTAAAAACGTGTATAAAATATGTTGGCGGATGTAGGATGGATGGGCTGCAAGCTAACTGCTAACATTTACTCAGCTTGTTTCTCTGTTGACTTAAGATCCAGACACTCTAGATGTTTTTACCAGGAGCCAAATTATGTGCAGAGGTCTCTTCCTCTCAAAAAAGAACAAAACCTGTGAAAACACTGAATAAAGCAATAGTTTGCTCATTTTATTTTGCTCTGGTTACAACATGAAGTAGAAATAAAACGTACATCGTTAAAGTGTATCCTAAAAATCGATCTTAAATGGTGATAAAATAAGTCACTTTCTGGCAGACAACCAAACATGGACGCATGCTCAAAGGGGATACAACAGCATGTGTTTTCAAAGATGAATAATGTTGGAAACAATTAATTGTTTTTAATGCGGAAGACTTACATATTATACCTTCTTGGCTGAATTTAAGCCTTTTCAGTTTACTAAATGACCAGAAATCTAGGATCTGTCAAGGAAATGGGCTGATCGAACAATGTGAACGGTTTTAACCAGTTTTGAATGTGTCAGACAGACTCACCCGATCGATTTTGTTCCCAACAAGCATCTTTACAATTTCATTGCGTGTTGTGTAGGTCTCCAGTTCGTTCAGCCAGTTTTCAAGCCTCGTAAATGTCTCACGCTTTGTGACGTCATACACTGTCAAAACCATGCAAACAGAGAAAAGGAGGAAAAGGAGTCCTTTTATTATTAACATTTGTGTTAGAAGTTGCTGTAATCTGATGGCTGTGACTTATAGAAAATGTGCAAAGAAAGTGTTAAAGCGGGAGAGTGAAGATGATATGTTAGCTGGTAAGAGAGAAAGTGTTTCTAGGTCAGGTTTAGAACAGGTTATGAGGCTTTATAAACATCACTGTTTACCGAGTATGACTCCCTGCGCACCGCGGTAGTAGCTGGGTGTCAGTGTGCGAAACCTTTCCTGTCCGGCTGTGTCCTGTCAAAGTAAAAACACTTAAGATTATCAACAGCAAAAAGTTCCATAACACCAAGCATTTAAAAACTACATGTGTCCACAATCACAGACATCATTTTCCCAATAAGTGGTGCGAGGTCTCAGACTGTCCCGCTGTGAAATTGGCCACTGCCTGAGAACTCTTTTGCAAATCTTTATTCTTAAGGGAATTATTCACAAACTAATGTTTAAAACAGGATGACTTGGCACGTTATGGAACTGGCAGAGCTGCAAAAACAGAAGTTACATTTCATTGTGTAGTTCTATTTTCTATCAAAATACGATTTTATTGGCTTGAAGGACAAGCCTGAAAATATCTGGGGAAGTTAGGAGACTATACAGCATTTAAGTGTCTGAGAATGATTGTATTGCTTGTTTTAGAGTATGGTGCATATAAATGCAGGAAAAGATATCAATTTATTTTACTTCTCTTTTTATTGAAATTCACCCGGGGCACAAAGAAGGGAATATTATGAGTCAGGCATTGGAATTACTATTTTTTTTATATATATGAGTTTGCTGATTGGTAGACCAAAATTCGACAATATAGATATAACAAAATTCAATAAAATAGAAGGTAATTAAAAAGCATATATTGTATTTATGAGTTTTAATCCAATCAGACATTTAAAAATTCACAATTATTATTATTTAAATATGAATTGTTAAACTACATGCATTATAAGTATTACACCTGCCTCAGCCCATTAAACATGGGACTTTACAAAGTGCCGTCCTCTTTCTCATAATGTATTTTGAGCCCTGGCATCCTCCGGCACACTTGTTTCTCAATTATTATTCTAATTTTCTCAACAATAAAGCGTATGCCATTTCAGTATTTTGGGCTTGGGTTATGGTCTCACTGAGAATGGTGGTAGTGTTTTTACATTGGACATCTGGATTGTATGCCTCATGAAAAGTGTTAAAGTTTCTTTATGAGAGTCTGGCTGTGCAATGTCTCCGCCTTGTGGAGAAAACACGTACATCATCGTGTTTTTCCTAACAACAAAGACTAAACTGTAGACAGTGACATAATGACTTATTTCTTACCCATATGGCGAGCTTTGCTTTGTTCCCATCTATTGAGAGGGTCTTTACTTTGAAATCCACACCTGATCATTAATGAAATGAAGACAAAAAGTAAAGAGAAAAGGCTTTGATGGTGGCACCTTCTAAATTATATTTCTGTGTTGAACCATGTGTTGATGTACATGTGTGTGTAAGTTAAAAACCTATTGTTGCTGCCTGATCAGGGTCAAAGGTGTCCTCTGTGAACCTCAGGAGAAGACTGTTGGGAGAATACAGAAAACAAGGCTATCAGCAAGACATACAGCACACTAGGCTTTTGTGAGGTGACTGCAAACTCTATAAACCCTTCCCTCTGTCAGTTACAAGCACAGTACAATAGCTACACAGTTGTAATGTTGAAATGAGCAGCAGAATCCCTATCAGGAAACAAAAAACAAAATCCTATGGGGAAGTTTTACAGCTGCCTATATGACGCTGCCATTTTTCGGACACCTAATTGTCAACTTGTTAACAGTGAATATGTGGCCTACATTGGCAGGAAAAGGACATCAACAACATTAGCTGTTAGCTTAGCAACAGCTGTGTAATAAACTTACATAATAAGAAGAATGTCAACATTCACAACAGGCTAGCTAACAGCTTGCTACAAACCTGGACTTCCCGACTCCACTTTCACCGATTATCAACAGCTTCAGAGTCGTTATCACGTCGTCATCCATATTCCTAAGAGGGGCTAGTTTAACCTGCACCTGGCGAGGCTTTTTTCGGTGAACTTTACTTGTTTTTGGAGAAGCAGGCGGCTAGCAGCTCCGGTGACAGGCTGCTGTTCACGCAACTTCCGGCCAAGCTTCGATGCGTGACGTCACGGAGGATCACGTCGTTTGAAAATAAGATAAAATAAAATAGTTTTTGTCCATTTTATTTGGGCTATTACTGTTTTTAACAGTGTTTTTATAGTTTGTCTAAAATATTCCTAGTATTATTTAAATAAATAAATAAAATAAGAAAAATAGGAAAACATTATGTTCTTATTGTTTTAACAATGTTTTCAATATGGATAAGTACAAAGCAACAATTTGTGTGCTATAAATTAAAACAGATTGTGTTTGTTGTTCATTATTTTAACTTAGGTGAGGATCAGACTATATTTTGGAACAAATGTATACTGGTTACAGGTTCATTAAAAAAGATTCACTTACTTTTTCTTGCCGCTGTATCTTACCATTATAATTTAAAATCGTATTACTTTTGTTGTGCCTACTTTTTTCTCCTTGTACTTTTTGAATACCTCTAATTGTGTCTATGATTTTTCTTATTTGAAACAACTCTGCATATTAGTTGGCTAAGTCTACCATGAAACTGATAAAAGAAGAGAAGGAAGTCTACCACACCAGAAGGTATTGTTAATTGACAGGTAGAAAACAAAGGGAAAACAAACCTCATTCATTATATAAAAGCTTTGTTCTGTGCCTTTACATTCATTAGACCTTGAGTGCCCCAAAGTTGAATGTTGCCTCAACCATGAGAAGTTATCACCTGGTGGTGTTGCAATTGGAAACAATAGACAGTATAAGTATTGAAATGGACCCAGTGAGCCATGCTTCACCTACCGTCCTTCAATAGGCTCTTTGACTGAGCCTTTCCTCAAACCTCATCTGCCTCTTTTCATTACAGAGTGGGCTAACCCTGTAATTATGTAAACCTAATTTCATGAAGGAGCTGAAAATGGTCTGCAGCACAATAAATACAGCTGGTTGTGAAAACCCACACAACCCTCGACAGTAGAGAAGGAGCATCTACTTTATATTCCTCAGAAATCCAAATTCTTGCAGCCATGGCCATACTACGCACAGATTGCGTTGAGAGGCCCCTGCGCATTTGCTTTGAGATGATGGGTCATTTTATCGGATCTCATCCTTGGTGGTTCTTGATTGCCCCTCTTATTTTCTCGACATGTCTTGGGAGTGGATTTTATCTTCTCCAGGACAGAATGTCAAACGATATCGAAGAACAGTTCACGCCTTTCGATGGACAAGCCAAGCTGGAGAAGAAATACATCCAAGAAACTTTTACTGGAAATGACTCCACGTTTTTGCGTTTAAGGCTGAGCACGGACGGGAATTACGCAACTCTCATAGCTACGAATGACAGGAATATTTTGACTGTGGAGTCACTGCAGGACATCCTACACTTAGATTTTCAAGTAAGAAGTATGGTGGTCCAGTTTGACAACCAGTCATTTGAATATGTGGATGTGTGTGCTGAGGTGATGGCATCCTGCACGTCCAATGACATTTTAGACATTATTAAAACCAATGCCAGCAATATAGACACAGTCAATTTGACATTTCCATGGTATAACTCAAATTCTAGGAGTTTTCCTTTGTATTTGAGTCTAGGGAATGTGAAATTACTTAATGAGAGCACAGTAGTTGAAAGTGCTAAAGCCATACAGCTCTATTACTATTTACGTGAAGACAACAAAACAAAGACTGACCTTTGGTTGGAAAGCTTCATTAAATTAGTCTCAAACAAATCATCAGCTGACATTCAGGTAAGCAGAACATCAACCCGTTTTAGTTTAATTTAGTATGTAGACTATGTAATGTAATATGTATTAATACTCTTTCTAGGTTTCTTATTCCACCTCCATGTCGATGCAGTGGGAATTTGAAAAGTCTCCAGGGTCTGTCATCCATCTGTTCTCCATCACCTATGCTATCGCCATCACGTTTTCCATCATATCATGTTGGAGGTTGGTAGAACATCTGCTCACCATCTCGGTGCAGTACGGATGTTTAGCTGTTTTTAATGTCTGATTTTCTTCTAGTTTGGATAATGTGAGGACGAAGGTGTGGGTGGCAGCCTGCGGGGTGCTCTCCACAGGTCTGGCAGTCCTGAGTGGATTTGGACTGCTGCTGCTGCTGGATCAACCTTTTGTCATGACAGTTGCTTCCTGTCCTTTCATGATATTAGGTAAGTTATGTTCTGTAAAACGTCCAGGCCCATGAGGTTCCACCATCTAATGCTGAATCAAAGTTAGAGTGTGCTCAAAACAACTTCATGTTAACCCAAAAAGTTAATTTTCGTAACGTTTCGTTAAATGCTTTTAGTTATTCCATCCTCCTATCCAAATCAATTATGGTTCCAAAAAAACAAAAGGGCGATGGTCAAAATGCCACATTTGAGGCTTCAATACGGTAGTCCAATATACAGTCTACTATGGAAACCAATGGCTGCCTGGATCAGTTACAATACACAAATCAGAACAGCCTGCATTTGAAAGTGGCCAAAGTGAAATACAGTGCACCTCCTTTGTAGTTAAATAGTTAAGAAGCGGGGTGTACTCCCATGCCCTTTAAAATGACAAAGCCAAAAGATAATGTAATACAAAGTAGATAAGGGTCCTATTTCCCTTGTGCGTAAATCTTTTCTCCTCTGACTGTTTAATCTAAAGGTATTGGACTGGATGATATGTTCATCATGATCTCCTCCTGGCAGAGGACCAGTGTTCTGGACAGCGTCCCCAAGCGGCTGGCTTACACTTACAAGGATGCTGCGGTCTCCATTACCATCACCACCCTGACCGACGCGCTGGCTCTGTTTCTGGGCTGCAGCTCGCCCTTTGGTTCCGTCCGCTCCTTCTGCCTGTATGCTGGGATTTCTATTTGCTTCTGCTATCTGTACAGCATCACCTTCCTGGGGGCGTGTATGGCTTTGAACGGACAAAGGGAAGCAGAGAACAAGCACTGGTTCACCTGCGCCAACATCCCTGAAGACTTACCCTCCAGGAGTTCTAAAGCCTTTGGCATGTGTTGTGTTGGGGGGAGCTATGATCGAATCACTGAAGAGGAGGAAACGGGGGTCGTGAGTCACATGTTTGAGCGTTTCTACGGCCCGTTTTTGACTCATAAATCGACAAAAGTTTGTGTATTTTTCCTTTACGCAGGCTATCTGGCTGTTAGCATCTTTGGCTGTTTTAATTTAAATGAAGGACTCGACATCAGGAATCTGGCTTTGGATGATTCATACCTCATCAAGTACTGCAACGATCAAGGGCAACACTTCGCCGAATATAGCTGTAACGTAATGGTAGCAGTGAAGCAACCATTTGCATACTGGGATACAGACGAACAGAAGCATCTGTGTTCATGCATTTCACATTTTGAGAGTTTGAACTTTGTCAATGGCACTTTGGCTTGGTTTCTCTCCTTTGTACAGTATGCTAATGCCAGTAATCTTAATATAAGTTCTCAAGAGTCTTTCCTAACACATCTGCCAGATTTCTTAGAACTCAACGCCATGTTCAAACATGACATCAACTTCACAGCGGATACCAAGATTCGGGCATCTCGATTTTTTGTTCAGACACTCAACAATGCATCCACGAAGGAAATGATGATTGGACTTAGGAAAACAGCAGAGGAATGCCAAGTAGATCTACTTGTGTACCACCCTGCTTTCATCTACTTTGACCAGTATACTGTCATTATGGACAACACCATTCAAACCATCATGGTGGCTGTGATGGTGATGCTAGTCGTCTCGCTCATCCTAATACCCAGCCCTCTTTGTTCCCTTTGGGTGGCTTTTGCAATTTGCTCAGTCATTGTTGGTGTGACAGGGTTCATGGCACTCTGGGGTGTAAACCTGGACTCCATCTCCATGATCAACTTGGTCATGTGCATCGGTTTTTCGGTAGACTTCTCCGCACATATTTCATATTCTTTCGTCTCTAGCCCTAAGAGTGACGTCAATGAGAAAGCGATCGATGCCATGGCCCGTTTAGGGTACCCAATACTCCAAGGAGCACTATCTACCATTTTAGGAGTGTTGGTGCTGTCCATGTCCGGGAGTTACATCTTTAGGACGTTCTTCAAGATTGTGTTTCTTCTGATAACATTTGGCCTGCTCCACGGATTAGTGTTTATTCCAGTATTTCTGACTCTTCTTGGGGCCTTTGGGAAGTGGTTTTGAACTTCGGGATTCCAAGTTTTTTAATGCAAAGTCAAACAGAAATTGGAAATCTGCACATTTTTTGTGAACTTAAATGATACTACAGCTTTTCTAATAATGTGATGTTTTTACGAGAACATTTTACCATTTTCTGAGACGTTTGCTCAAATACTTGAATAGTTGTTTTTTGTCAGTTCTTAAGAATATAATTTAAAACTAGTCTTCCGTGACAGAAGTGTAAAGCTTGTTCATTTTGGCTCATTGTAACAAAGTATACGCATTTTATAGTTTTGTAAATAATAAAACTGAAGTACACACCAACATCTTCTTTTGGGCTTCTTTTTATTTATTTCAGGTGCACAAACAATTCATCAACCATTGCCATCAGAATGTTGAGAGATTGTGTCAATCAACAGCAGAGCCATTCAATGTGTACAGCATAAAAGCATTGCTATACATCTATGTACAATGTTCTCAACATCAACACATCATATATACAGCTAAACATGGATAAAAAAGCCAGTAAACTGAAGAAAGAAAGTCAAATGAAGAAAGAAAGTGAAAAGGGCAACACTATAAATTACATATGCTGGTGGTCATTTTGACAAAAGCTATACTTTCAATAAAATGGTAGATAACGCTAATCATACACTGCTGTATTGACTACACATTGGGACATTTAACATGTCTCTGCCTCAAATTAACGACAAGAGAAGCCAATGGACAATAAACTGATAACTTACTGTTGTTTTTCTCAGTAATTAAAAGATTAAGAGGTTTTCATTAACTCATTGGAAATTACAAGAAACACTGATATTCTTCAGAGGCTTTTTGGAAGCCTAATTCTATTATTTAAATAAATTAGGTTTGAGCCTTACAAGTTTAAATCCTAAAATCCCAATGCTTTATCACTACATAAACAGCTTGTATTTGGTGCATGCTTTTTCAGATTATCAAACATTTTTTCACAGCATAAATAAAAATAATAGAGTGCAGAAGTGCATTTGAATGTTTACACTTTACCTAACGTGTTTAGACGCTATGGTTTAACTTGTTAGACCTAGTAAGGAAATAAATACAATTACGCTAAAGTCCTTCCCCAAAAGGCCACATTTAAAAATAAGATTGAGTGACATAAACAGAAGGGAATATATACATGATTTATGATCCAAGATACTTAGAGTCTGATGGTAAGACAAAGTGAAGCACCCCATTGTGACACTTTTTGGTGCCCAAATTGAGACACGGACACAAAGGTGTTATACCAAATGGAAATACTAGACACAAAACATGTATATAAGACAACTAAATAGGGGTTGCGATTTCATAAAGACTGGTTGCAATGATTACCAAGTAGTTATTTGTGTTTAAGATAAAAACCGCTCAGTATTTCTCATCGACGGTATAGGAATTTTAAGAGACCAGGCTGAACAGAATTTGACCACATTTCAAATCCCTTTTTAACAATTAACGCGATAACTTGAATGACGGAATCATTTTTCGACAATTGCTTGATAATGCATTAACCACACAAGTAATTTTACAGGCAAAAAAAAGAAGCAGAAAATGCTTTTTTTCAGACTTCCATGTCTGTAGATTTCCTGCTTTTCGCCAAATTAAATATGTTTTGGGTTTGGACTTACTAAACAAGCCATTTAAAGATGTCACTGTTGACTTTGATTATCTGGGATCAAAATGTTTCTAACATTTTATTAGAAAATAACCCTGAAATAACCTAGTTCCAAGTAGTATTGAAGCATTTTCAGTGAAAACAATCGAAGAAAAATGTATGGTGGTGGCATTTTACCCAAATCAAAAAACGATTGGTATCATCATTTTCTTTTAACGATAGCAAGCCTTACAGACAAGAACGATAAATCCAGGGAATAATCAGCAAAATATTTGATAATGACAATAAGCTTTTGATGCAGCCTTACATTCACATATGTCCTACCACTGAAGGATGAAGTGACCTGAGCAACTTCCTTATCATTAAGCATTTCACCTGTGAGCCTTCGTCACATATAGTGAACTAACAGCAGCAGGAAAGTCCTATTAAAGTGCAACACCACTAAACAACCTATCTGGAAATAATGTTGAGATTACGCAGACGTGACAGCATGAAGAAATTACAGCCGTACATCATCACTTGTCTAGAGACTTTGTGAATGCAGACCATGAGTTTATACTTCTCCGATTCATGAATTGAGTCTTTTCCTCTTTCCATGACCCCTGAGTGCTTAAAACCCGCCCCCTTCCCACTGCTCTGGTGCTACCCTCTGATTGGCGCTGTCCTTGTTTCATCTGGTCTCCAGGGTCTTACCCTCCAGGACCAGCTGGATGTCTTTGACGTCGAGCGTCTCGTACAGGAGCAGAGCCTCGGCCAGGTTTTTGTGCTCTTTGGCATGAGACTTCAGCAGGGCTCTGGCACGCTCGTAAGAGTCCTGGAGACGGCGAAAGGGAATTATGGTGAGAAAAAAGGTTTGACAACAGCTTAATCGTTAAGTTGTATAAAGAAAGATTACACAGACCTTTAATATCACCCTGACTTCATTCTCCACAGCGGCTTGTGTCTCCGGGCTCTGGGCCGTCATGTCGCTGTAGGTCATCACACCCAGCTGGGGACAGGAAGGGCAAACACATGTGTTAATGTGAATAGAATGACAGCAAAAGCAAGAAAATGCATGTTTATTTATATAGCACATTGTTAAAAGCAGTGCAATTCAAAGTGCTTAAAAGGAATTTTAAAAAAGTACAACATTAACAAATTACATTTAAAAACTAGAGCAGCAAAATGAATTGCAATGTTATCAAAATCACAAACAAACTAGTGCCATATTCAAATAAGTATTGTGGTGCTGTAGAGTTATCCCAGTCGATACATCTTATTCTATGGACATAACTAAACACACATTTATTTGGTACAGATCTTCTGTTAAAATCTCTCCTGAATCATTTTCATATTTTTTTTAAATGATAGTTAAAATCTGATTGATTCAAAATGATCAATTCATCCAATATTACAAATCATATCGCAATTAAAATATCAGTCAAAATAATCGCAATGAGTTGTTTTTTCCAAATTGTGCAGCCCTATTAAAAACAATAAAAAAAACACTCATTAAAAAGCCTGTATTCTGAGAGTTTGTTCAAGATATATTGAGCTCAAATACTGAACGTTGCAAATAATGTGCGGTAGAAATAGAACGACAGGCCTTTTCTCCTCAAGTCCCCTACCTTTTCACACATTCCGAATCTGGTCACCATCATCTTAGCGATCTTTGTGGCACTATCGAAGTCGCTTGAAGCACCTGGAGAGGAAGAAATTAGACGTTTCATTTTAAAGTTAAAAAAAACACCTGAATTCAAATGAAGAGAATTCTACTACTACTACTACTACTACTACTACTACTACTACTACTACTACTACTACTACTACTACTACTACTACTCATCATCATCATCATCAGGGACTCTTCCCTACCAGTTGTGATGTACTCATTGCCAAATATGATCTCCTCTGCTACACGGCCGCCCATACTGACGTCCATCTGGGCCAGCAGCTGAGAGCGAGTCTCACTCCAGCGATCGTTCTCCGGGAGCATCGAGACCTGACATCGATGAGCATGGGAGAAGGAAATAATTTAGGGGTTGAAAGGATATACAACTTTAAAAAGATAAGAGAGTCAATAGAGTGGTGCAGGAAGGAGTCCTAAAACCCAGAAATTAGTTAGCATTTTAGCACTTCAGGTTCAAAGTCTTTGGGTAGGTCACCAAAATAAGACAACATTGTTCAGTATATACCCCCCTGAGTCATATGTGTCATAAAAAAAGCAGTTGCTAACAAGTGATTGAATGTGCCAGTGAACATCATTGGAACATCACCTGGTTGGCCCAGTTCAACAGACTTATTAGATTATAATTAATTGAAACCATTTAGTTTAAAAGTTGTTTTCTTACATGTCCCAGGCTGTGGCCTCTGGGCATGATGGTCGCCTTGTTAATGGGCATGGCATCTTTGGTGAAGTAGGCGACGATCGCATGGCCTGATTCATGGTACGCAGTGATAGTCTTGTTCTTCTTGTCTATTTGAGCACTCTTTCTCTCAGGGCCTTGAAGAAAAGAGAATCATTAAATGACTTTATTGCCACATTCTCAACATGATTTCAATGAGTGATTGTTGCAGTATTGCAGGTAAACACAGTCTTTCTTTGGTACCTATTAAAGCTCCCTCATAACTCACCCATGAGGATTTTGTCCTTAGCAAACTCCAGCTCCTTCAGGGTGACCATGTCTTTGCCATCAACTGCTGCCTTCAGGGCCGCCTGGTTGACCAGATTTTCCAGGTCAGCGCCAGAGAAGCCCACTGTGCCCCGGGCAATAATGTTGGCTTCAATAGCTGCAGAGAGAACAAGGTTATCAGTAACAGCCAAGGGCATCACTCCAGGTTACTGTTAAAGGAAAGGAAATGGCAAACATTCAGCCTGTTATGTCAGGTTCAAAGAATGCTAGTCCTGTGTAAGGAAGGAAGTTGAGAACCGGTTCCTTGTTGTTCACTCTCAATGGAACATTGTTGTGTATGCACAAGGATGTGAACTTTACCTTGTACCTGTGATGTTTTGGGGTTGTTGATTTTTTGTTGTGTTTCTTTCCGTTAACTGTCAAGTGGAAACTAAGTATTTTTTTTGTAAGTTTTTGTGTTTCTCTTATTTTCTTACGATACTGTTATGATTGGCTGTGAATAAGAAAATATGAAGGACAGACCATCTATTTCAATTTTTATTTTAGAAAGGGGCAGGTAATATAAGATTATTTTCTTCTCCCTGCTCCTTTCCGGGTACGGTGTGTTTATAGAGACATGTTTTGTAAATCATTGTTATACATTAAGTTGTGCATACCGTGAACGGAACAAATACAAATGAAATGAAATGGAAGAGAAAAAGAGAAAAATCCCTCTAAGTTTGGCGCTAATAATCGTGGGCTAACCCTATTTTTCCCCTCATACATTTTGATAAAACAAATTGCTACATCTAGCGCTAGGTAAAGCTAGCATGGAGCTAACAGCTAGCTTTAACGGAGGTTCCATTAAGATACATACTGATTCGTATATCTTTTTTTTATTCTAAGCAAATATTTAAACAAAAATTCATAATTGATTTACTTATCATTTTAATTGTTTGTTTTACAATGACTTCACAACAGTTTAAAAATATCTTTTGGACAATTATGAAAAGGTTAGCCTGCATGTATGTACTCTTTTTCAACACAATAATTTATCAGGAATCAATAAAGAAATTGATGAAGAATCTAATTTGTAAGAGGAAAAGATAATGGAATCGGTATCAATAAAACATTATCGATTCAAATCCTTAGCTCTGTTCTGTTCGTTCAGGGTGTCAGGACAACCAAACCAAGGCATACAAACAATCAGGGCTCTATCTTAAAATAACATAGACCATCATTTGACCAAAATAATGTTTTGATAAGCAGATGCTGTTTCCACACCTGGATCCACTTTGATCTTCCTCAGATACCAGTTGATGATCTCCGTGCGTCCTCTCACGTCTGGTTTGGGGACGGTCACCTGCATGTCAAAGCGTCCTGGGCGGATCAGAGCGCTACAAAATAATCAGCTTGTCAGTAAAATATTGAAACTGTGTTAGCATACAATCTGGGTCACTGCAACAGAAGCACCCTCAGGGTTACAGTCTTTGTTGTTGACAAGGAAAGCTCTGAGGGTTGTAATCCACAACATTGGAAGCTCTATTTTTTTTTACTTTTATGTATGCACCATGACATAAAGTCAAATTCCTTATACGTGTCAACCTACCTGGTAATAAACCTGATTCTGATTCTAGCAGGAGAGACAGAAGTAAACATACTTATCCAAAGCCTCCGGGAAGTTGGTCGCTCCGATGATGATCACACCTTCATTTGGTTTAAACCTACAAAATAATATGACAGGGAGGTCAATGTTTGGAGCACAGTAGCTCTCCTCTTGCTTTGTGCTCACCACAGCAATTTATAACTCTCACCAATTCATATTTTTAACAACATGAACTACTTCATTTATTCCCAAGGAAACCAAACATGTAATGTAACGTGTGATTATAAATGTTTATAGTGTTTTTTTTAATAAATTGTTAATTTATAATACATTGCTATATATAAAACTACTTCTGACACGGGTAGCTCGAATCAAGCAATCTGATTGGTTCTAAGTCATGGTATAATATAACCATATACCACAGCTATGACGTCTAATACCTTTTCACAGTATCTTTGCGTGAGGAAAAAAACACGAGGCTAACGAAATTATATGTGTTACCCTGTTGCTATGCAAGTTACAGATATGATGCAACAGAGTAACATATTTAGCTAGCTTAAAAATGCTTTAAAAAGTGAACTTCTTTGCTGAGTGGTATGGGATAAACCTGTTGTTATAGACGTCCAGACAGTGGCAGAAGAGCATGGTCATTATTGTTATTTTAAAGATGCCATTGACAGAGCACATGTAACATTGAAACCAACTCTGTATGTCCAGGCAGGTAGGGCCTATATGTTTGTGAACATTACAATTATCATTAAAACATATTTTAGATTGGATGTTTCTATATCTTTGATGTTTGAGGCCTTGCAAAAACACCATATTGTCAAATATTTTGTATTTAACAATGTCAAACTGTAAAAATTCCTCAGATAATGGAAGTAATTACCCATCCATCTCAGCAAGCAGTTGGTTAATAGTCTGTCTAGAGTAAGGGTGCATGGGAGACTCGATCCTCTTCCCCCCCACGCTGTCCAGCTCATCGATGAAGATCACACAGGGAGCGTTGGCTTTAGCCTCCCCTGGAAACAAGCAGTGAGACAAATATTGAAATCAACACATGTCTCACAAAATTCAAAGCAGTCTTTTGCTTGTGTTTTGTTTAAGATGGCAGAATAAGTCATGTGTAGTCTTGTTATTTTGTGTAGCACGATCACCTTGTCCCTTCCTCAACTTCTCTTGGTAATTTCTGTGGACATTTGCATTTTATCTCAGAAAAAAAAACATGTGCATTTCAAATCGGAGTCGCTGAAATAAATGGTTGCTTGTGTTATTGCAGGGGGGCGTCTTGCTGTCATTTGAATTAATAATTCGAGAGAAGATCGAGAGTCTTTATCGGTTGAAATGACGAAAAGGAAAAAGGACAAGGACATCCCTCTGTTGGAGGGGCAAAGGAGTCTAGTGGGAGTATTGAAGATCGTTACCCCGACATCGGCGGTGCATAGGGTTGCAAAATTCTGGGAATTTTCAAAGATGGAAACTTTCCATGGAAATAAACTGGGTATTTTCAAAATTGAAGGTTGGCTCTTCATAGGGAACTTAAATATAGTTGGGGAAAGTATATTTTAGCATAATCTTGACTAAAACAAACAGATGCCATTCAAGTACACTTGAATATCCATGCCATAGCACACTGCTTACTGCATGGCTATTGAGACCACACAAAGGTTCGCAACAGGCTCACAAATGTGAGAGTGGAAAAACTGGTTGGCATTCGGGCAAACCTAAGGCTGCTTGAACCTGACACAGAGCCATCCTCAACAAGGCTGGACAGTGACACTGAAGAGGAAGACTCAGAGTTGGATGTTGATGAGGCCCAGGAAGAGCCCGTTGACTGAAAGGGTTTAGCAAAAATGCAGAGGCTTTGTGGAGGGAGAAGGGCTCTTTTCATTTAACATTTTGAATGGGACTTTGTGGGGATTTGGATGGGGGGTGCATTTTTGTTAATTCTTTTAATGAGTGGGGTTGGGGGGGACGAGTTACATTTAACTCAACATTCCTGTTTTCGTTCTTCAATGAAACAAATAATTGTTCAATAAAATAATTTAAACTTATTCTGTTCTACTTAAAACATTTATTTTTTAATTTTAATTTAATTTTTTTAAATCTCTTGAAATGTCATGTTTTTTTGTTTAAATTTGCATCAAATATTTCCAAAACTCCCCAGCTTAACTTCCCATGGAAACTTTCCGGAAATTTACTGGAAACTTTCCACCCCTTTGCAACCCTAGCGGTACCTGCCACAGAACAACACGGAACATGCGCGATTTGGACGTGATGAACCGGGGGTTGCTTGTGGAGCACGGCGCATGAACTGCGAGTGCCGGAGCCTAGCAGCAGCGAAACTGAGGCTCCCTGGTTAACTGTGGTAAAATGAAGAGCCGCTTGGGAGCCGAAAGAGCCGGCGCTTTAAGAGAGCCGAGCCAAATGATCCAGCTCACTAACGTAAAGAGATAGTATCTATAAGGGATGGCTCCATTCCAAATTCAAGCCCCGCCCCCCGCTCTCCGGGTGGACGCCCTCTCAGCCCTGGTCTGGCGGAAACAGTGTTATTGTCTCTGCTCTCTCCGACTGACACAACAGGAGCATAACCTAGCACATTAATACAAATGAATGGCCTCAATAATGCTGCCCTCTAATCAGAAGAAGTGCATTTTACACACTCCAGAGGTTTCCTACTAAGGAAAAGAGAGGGAAAATGTTGCTTTTGATATTAAAACACTTGAAAAAAAAGTGCTTACGGAAAAGATTCCTGATGCGGCTGGCTCCCACTCCAACGAACATCTCGTCAAATTCGGACCCAGAGGCGTAGTAGAACGGCACATCGGCCTCTCCAGCCACCGCTCTGGCCAGGAGAGTCTTTCCAGTCCCAGGAGGGCCGACCAGAAGAACACCTGAAGAAGAGACAAAGAGGAGGAGGAAGAATGAGAGAAAGACACAAGAATGCTGCCCTAAATTGACACCACACTCTCATAGAGATAAGAAAATGACAAAGGTGCCAGTACCTTTTGGCAGCTTTCCTCCCAAGACCGTGAACTTATCTGGGTTTTTCAGGAACTCCACCACCTCCTGCAGCTCGTTCTTAGCTTCCTCAATCCCTTTGACGTGCTCGAACGTCACGTTCTTCACCGCGACCGGGTCCACAGCTGAGTCCAAGCCTGCTGTGGTTCGGAACCGTACTGTCAAAAACGGTTAGATTAAAGTTTGAAATCACACTGCATGACAGGGTTAATGAGGTCACACAAACACTCGCTGGCTCTCACTGAGGGTTCATTGGGAATATTAGTGCCTAATGCTGCAGATTAGAATGTGTTGTCGTCTGCATAGAGCATGACTCACTCATACCAAGCCTTCTTGTAGGGGATGATACACGCTCGATGCATAGATGAGTTAGTGGAAATGATGAGCTTTAAAATAAAGATTCATATTTAAATCGCGATGCAACAAATGTCTCAATCTGCAGCAATACTGATGTTTGGAATAACAATTTGGCCGATGTCAAATGTGCCGCCTATGGGGTGGCCAGTGGTCCAATTAATTGGGTCATATTTTTTGGCTCAGAGTGAGTGCTCTTTGATTTGTTGCTTCTTTGTGGGTGTGTCAGAGTGCTCTTTGTTTTTTTTGGGATCTTTGCAAAAGGAGTTTTAAAATGTTTGTTCCCCGCAGTGAGAGCTGCGGCAACAGTCAAATATGCACCATGCAACTTTAATTCGTTTTTCCTTCAAAATGACTTGTTGGGAGTAGATTTCATGCATTTTAAAAATGGAGCGTTTACCCGATACGAAGGGGGTCTTGGAGAGACCGTAAAGCCCAGCAAAAAGCAGCACCAGCAGGATGAGACGAGTCCTCCTGAGGGAGTCTGAAAAGAGAGAGAGAGAAAATTTGTTTAATGATTCATAATACAAACGTTTAAGTGACGTTTAAGTGACTGTGTATGTTGAACTTGCCTTGTGAGCGTTGTGTCAGGGTTTGGGCTTTCAGGAAACCCTCAGCGAAGCCCCTCTTGAAAGAATCCTGTTGTCCATCCGGTATGTTCTTTATCCTAATCAGGCTGTCTAGACTCTCAATTTCAACCCCCTTGTCTCGTGTCAGGAAACCCTGTAGTACAAGGTAGGGTTGGTTAGCAGCATTCCCAAAGCCCGAATACTGTACCATTACACTTTAGCTCTCAAGGCTATGACACTGGACTCACTCTTCAGGCCTGAACACTTTAAGGGCACCCTCTATGCCTTTATGTTTTAAATATTGAACTGCTGGAGGCTTCTTAAACAGGCAGCTGCTGTCAATATCTTAGCTAACATATGATAGTTGTTTAAAGAAATGTTGGTGCTGATTAAAGCAGAGGCCCCATTATACTCATTTTTAGGTTCATATTTTGTTACTCTACTGTGAAATGTTTCCATGCTTTCATGTTCAAAAAATGTCTTTACTTTTGCCCTCTTTTCACCCTCTGTCTGAAACCAGAGCCCAGTCTGCTCTGATTGGTTAGCTGGCCGGCTCTGTTGTGATTGGTCAAGCACTTGAGAGGTCCCTCCCCTAAGCCTATCACGTACAATGTGTTAGAGCAATAGCCAATAGAAGCGCGAGTGTGACATAGTGATTTCACTATTTTACAGAAGTAAACAAAGGGGTCCAATAGAGGTGATTCAGGCAGGGGGGGCTGGGAAAGGAACTCCCCCTGGAGGGAACTTTGGTAATTCAGCCTTTGCAGACTATTTGCATACACACAAACTAGAACACATTACAGGAAAAGGGAAAAACACAAAAAGCATAATAGAGCCTCTTTAGATAATATCGATAGTATGTTTAAGGACTTGTTTAATCTTCTTAACAACAACTCTATGCACATACCTTCATAAAGGTGGGGGTGAACCCCTCAGACTCCAGGGGCCGGTCTAAGCCTAACTGCAGTCGTCTGGTTTTGCTCTTTAACGTTTTAAAGCCTCTGGTGGGGACCCACACTGAAATATACAGTAAGCATGAGCCAATCATTTCAACAGCTGATATATATATAACCTAGATGAGCGTAAACATTGTAATATAAAAATAAGTAATAATAGATAACATTGATGATTAAATGGAATATGAGTTTTTCTCTCAGTAACGCTATATTGTTGTAAAGGTAATTCATTAGCAACTGATAGCAATGTTTTCGATTATTAATAAACTATAACATATTGATCCATAGTTACCTGGCCAGTGTTTCAGCTCTAAGCAGACAGACTGGAGAGGTGAAGGGTGCTGCCTTGAAGAAGAAATGGGCATTGCACCACCTGAAAAGCCTGCAAACAGAGGACAAGGTTGAACTGTTATAATTAACCTTTAAGAAAAAGTGGTAACAGAGGCCCTGGTTGCTTGTTAAAACTACTAACTAGTATCTAAGCTAAAGCAGAGACATCACAATGTTGAGACTGATGTTTACCACCACCTTCACTCACTAGAACTCTGATATTCTAGCAATCAATAGAAAGTGTGTGAGGTCCTGGCATGTTGTTTTGATATAGGAATGATGATGGGTTAGCAAAAGCACCAGCCACAACTGTTTAAAGGTCCAGTGTGTGAGATTTAGTGGCATCTAGCAGTGAGGTGGTATATTGTGAGCAACTCTATACCCGTCAGCTCACCATCTCTATCCAATCAGAAAGAGAACCTTAAGTGGCCTTCAGGTCACATCAAAACATAAAAGGCCCTTTCTAGAGCCAGAAAAATGTTTGTCCTTTCCGGGCTACTGTAGAATCATGTCGTAGCAACATGGGGGAATCCATAAAGAAAACCATATGCAGACTTGAGGGCTCTTTGTAAGCTAACAATAACATTTAGGTGCAATAGTTGCAGATAAATATATACACTAATAAAAACTAATTTAGGAATAGATCCCCCCTAAATGCGACATACTTTTCCTGTGGGTGGTGCATTGTACACTATAGGAGGCCTGTTTACAACAAAACATGAGCATTCTCACCATGTTTGTTGTGGTAAAATGAGTGTGTAGAGAGATGTGACGTCCTCCACGCCGTCTGTCCGTCCAATGGAAGTGGCGCCTCCTGTGGACTCAGGCGTGGTAACGCATTGTTCACCAGCTCCTCCAGCTGCTGCGCTCCCAGGTCTGATAGGCCGAGCTCACGCAGGTTCAAAATGGGCTGCAAACATATGAACATTATACACTTTGGAGGATGAGATTGGATGTTGCTCTGCGGCAACAGATCGATGGACCGATCCATGAAATCTATTATGGAAGCTATGCTATTGCTATGCTAACAGCTATTTTCTTAACCGGTCTCTACTGTCAATCACCCTAAATCATTCATATATTGAATATATATATAGATTTTGTATAAATGTATATACATATAAATATGTAATAAAAAAGATGTACATTTAATTAAAACACTGAAGTTACATAGCTGACTTGCATAAAGTAAGTAGTAGGGGTGCTCGATTATGGCAAAAATCATAATCTCGATTATTTGCGTCAATAATTGATATCAAGATTGTTGATTATCCATTTATTGAAAAATAAAATGTAACAGTATGTTTTTAACAGTTGATTACCCTGAACTTTAAGTATAATTCAACTGAAAAACCCACAAAAAATAAATAATAATAATTAAAAAGAAAAAATCGTTTTATTTTGATTACGCTGTTTTCGTAATCGTTGCAAACCAAAATCGTAATTGCGATTAAAATACGATTAATTGAGCAGCACTAGTAAGTAGTACCCTAAGTTAAAATGTTTGTGGCCGAATATAGTGTTTACTAACTTGTACTGTATATTTATATTGCGTATTATATTGAGATATTGTGTATTCTATTGAGATATATTCTTCACATATATATCTTTCCCTGTTAATATATATTTACTTGTTACGTTTATTTTTAATTCATGTGCAATGCCTTGTTTACATGCTGCTGTAACATAACAATTTCCTAAATTGAGATATAAAGTTGTGTAATTGAATCCAATGATATTCCTCTCAAAGTTACTCAGGAACAGGCTTTTGTTAAAAATGTGTACTCTTCTTCTTGTATCTTGGTTGAGATTTGCCTATAGGATATGTACAAAATATGAGTGTATACTTTGAGCAAAGTGCATTATGTGAATGAAATAAGCAGTTAAATAAAAAGTATTGAAAAAGGGGGGACAGGAAACAATGCTTTACCTCTGTGCCCCGTAGCTCTGAGTCTGAGGCATGCTCCTTGTGAGTTCTGGGTCTGCACGAGGCACTGAGGCTGCTACCCACTGAGCTCTTCATGGAGTGGAGGACATTGATGAGGTGGCTTAGAGGTAATGTCACCTGTCATCACATGTAATCCAACAGTCAGAAAAGGTGGGCTATTATACAAAACATCATCACACACACACTTAGGTTAGGTAGATCAATGACTTAGACAGTAGGTAGCCACACAGGTACATCAGCTGGATGGCGTTATAAAACCAACATGATGTAACCAAAAGCTTACACGCTACTAGCTTAGGTTAGTTCTAAATAAGGTAACGTTAGCCGTATAAAGGTGATTATCACGAATCAGTAGATATGTTAATTGAACTGCTGATTTAATAGATTATAAAATCACCAGTAGTCAAACATGTCGCTCATTGACGCAGTTTCTCCATCTGGCAGCTAAGGACACAGAACTGAAGTATTAGCTAGCTAAAACTTCTCTCAACCGACCTCATAGTCTTTACTTCCGTTTATTTTAGGTAAATATACAGAAAACAATAGTGAAACAATGTCCCCTGACGATAAAGTATCTCTTTAAAACAACATGAGGTCGAGAGCAGTCTGGCTAATGAGAGAACAAGCGAAGGTTAATTTACCTCGCTAGCATGCTGAACTCCACAACCAAAACAACAACAATGCTAACGTTAGCTTGGCCTAAAGCTTCCTGCTTTCTTACCTGTGGTTGGACTGTCATTGACAGAGAAAACATGTTTGAATTCTCGCTGGTACACGATGCCTGATATGCTACACAAGGTATTCCTCTGTCCCCGAGTTAAAGGGCCGTGTTTGGTTTACTTCACAGGCATAACAAATCAAACTGCGAACTTAGGGACAGAGCCGAAAATAAACCGGATATGACGTCTCACGTGTTGTAACCATAGACTGTAGGTTGTAACCGTTGTAACCAGCGCCATATAGATAGAAGTCTATATGGCGCTGGTTGTAACCATAGGGTTGTGACCGTTGTGACATGATTTGCATCCCTGTTGAAATCTTGCTTATTCTCCTTTAGTTTATCTACAATTTTAATGATGCAATTCTTTTTTAATGTAAAAAAATATGCTATATATTCAATCTCAGTTTATACAGACAGTCAACTCCACCTTTTCATAAGTAGCAACAACTTATGCTGCATATTGAACATATAATAACATCAAAGATCCACTCTGCTTTTTCATATAATGATTTTATTGCATTAAAATGTCCTATGTTTATATGTACAGTATATTTAAAAAGCACCACATCTTTGCTTTAACAGAGAATGTTTCATTTTCAGTTTACAGCTGACAAGAAACACAAATAAATATATGGATTGTCCTTACTCTGTTCCTCACTTTATGTGTAGGATAGAATTGCATTGAAGCGATAAAATAAATATAGAATTTTACAAATGATGTTAATTTGGTCTAAAAAGAAATGCACCTTGAATGTCTATATTTGAACAATACATACAAAAGTCCTTAGAAATTAGAAAAAACAGTTTGACAAAAACATGAAATAAACAAAATAAAATGTGCAAAAAATAAAATAACTGGCATGACAATGGGTCATAGATTACTGTCCACAGCTACTGTATGATCATGTTTATGCAAGTTATTTATATGTTGAGTTATTGGTGATCTGGACTACATTTCATAAATAATATCACTGCCTAATGCTACGCTCACTGTTAATGTGCCAGTTTTATAATGCACACATTTTAAACACCTCAAAAGTATCCAGGAAGTCAAAATGCTACACTAAATTGCAGAGTCTCCTTTTACATCAATATCTGACCCATAATTTATCCACGGTGGCTTTCCATTTCTAATACTGCCCTCATTATACCCTGTCTGTTGTGGTGACTTACAAAGCCACAACGCATCAAAAGTGCAACGATTTCATCCCAGCGTCAAGTTGTTTGATTGAGGTCAGAGAATTCAGGCGATTTTCCTGTGAGGAGAAAAGATAAAACATTTAAAACGCCTATAAAGCAAAAGTAATTTGCGATGATTTTGATCAGCATTTTCCTCACCTTCTCCTGCGTTGTAAGTAAACCTGGACGAGCCAATGGGCAACCACAGGCCAGAGTGTAGTAAACACCACAGTGAGTGGAGAGAAGTCAAAAGGCCACCAAGCTGGTCTTAAGAACTGTAAATAGAAAAAATCCATTGTTTTCTGATTGGATACAACTTTGTCATAAAAACAGCCCTATGTGCTCATTTTCGGGTTAATATTTGCATGTTGTGTCTCTACTGTGACATGTTTACATCCTTCAATGTGCAAACAGCTCTTTATTTTTCTCATACTGCCTTTGCTGCTGCGTTTTTGATTGGTCAACTGCTTAGAGATGTCCTGCTAGCTAGCCAATAGAAGTGTGAGTCTTACAAAGTGATGGCATTATGTTACATAAACAAAGGAGTCCAGTGGACTGTGTGGGAGGGAAACTCCCTCTGGAAGGAACTTTGTGATTTTAGCCTTTGCAGACAAGCACAAAAACCTATAATACACACTACAGGATAGGGAAACCCTCAAAAGCACAATAGGGTCCCCTTTAAAATACGATGCTAAAAACCTTTTGTGCTACTGCCAGGGCGTCCTCCTGCTTTGGCGAAGATGATCTTGACTTTAAAATGCAAGAACAAGAAAAACATTTACATCTATGAATAAATCTATGATAAATTGTCATGGAGACAGTCATAAACAATGATACATTTCAGTACACACTGTGGGTAACACCCACACTGGTTTCTCACCTGTGACACCGTCAGCGCCTCCAGAGCGTGCAGCCTGTGCAACACCCTGGACATGTCATGCTGCAGCCTCAGCAGAGCGGTAGCTATTTGCTCGTTGATGTTTTCCCTGGCAACGCAGACAGGATATCTGCTATGTGACACACAACAACAAACAGCATCTACACTGGCAGAACGCTGAGAATCGCAGGGAGTCCCTGGCAACGGTGAACCTGGAGTAAAAAAAAGATATCTTAACGCTTGTGAATGAGCGCTTAATTTGATGGTGTCTTATGCCTTGACATTTTAGGAGGAAGGTATGTTACAGTGTAAGTATGAATCACAGTAGACAGTCTCACCTCTCCCTCTTCTTGACAAGGAGCTGTTGTTGCTTGCACTAATCCCTTCTTTAAAGTAAGAATCTCCCATGAGCACTTGATCCTCTCCTGCATTCAGGGTCGTGTTGCTCTCAAACCAATGATCCCTTTGCCTCACTGAGACAGCTGCTGATCCAGAGGAGCGTATTCTTGACGTTGACAGGCCCTTAGTAGGAACAAATAAAGGTCAGGCACGGTTTGAGTAGTCTTAATAATAATAATAATAATAATGGTAAAAGTTCAGAACCAAGCGGCACACTCTTGGTCTGAAAAGTGAAGCCAATGTTCCCTAACCATGTGTTTTTCTAATAGCCAGCAGGGGGCAGCTCCTCTGATTTTTGCATAGAATTCTATGAGAAAATGGCCCTACTTCTTACTTGATTTATTACCTCAGTCAATGTTTTCCTAATGAGTTAATAGTCTCAATTGATGGTTTTAAGACTTAGTTGATACAGCAGGATGTTTATTTTATAAACAATGGTCTCATTTAGAGTAGAAGAGAAGATACAGTAGCATGTGCTTTACACTGTTGTCCGGTCTGGGCTCTCCTTGTTTTCGTCTAACCACTTAAACATTTTCCTACTGTGTTTTTATTTATAAGAGTTCATTTTAACATTATGGTTGCCTTAAAAACTTCAGCGTTTAGTTGTTTCCAGCTCCAACAGCTAAAAAAAACCATATGGCATTGGCAAACTAGAGGGCCAAATCTCAATTATCACCCCTAAAGCATTAAGCCCTGAACCCTAAGGAACTTAACTTAGTCCACCTGGTAAATGCCTCAGTGTTGACATCTTTCAGGGTTTTGCCTTACTAAGGGAACACAATGTAATTGTCAAATTATCAAGTATCCTTAAGCATCCTTATAGATACATTTCTCTGTTATATATTTTTTTGTACTGGACTATTACTTCAGATTGTTTCCATTTCGCAATGATTTCCTGTAGTCAAGTGTTGAGCTGAGGTACTGATAGATGAGCTCATTGGTTTTGACCATCTAAATTTCGTAAAGAAAGAGAATAGGCACATTTTCTAAAATGGTAAAAGTAATTCTTTAATGTGGTGCATACTATTGAGAAGGGACACCTCACCTCTTCCATGGCCAGATGCTCCATCGAGTCACAGAATTCCTCGTCCGAGTCTGTTGACCGGCGGTTCTTCTCAGGAACTACTTCACTATGACCTGAACATGGAAAATATATCAAATAATATAATTTTTCACTGTTCATCTACATCAAAAACATAACGTTTATAACAATCATATTTTTTGTAATTGTTGTAATACTTTTGCTGCTGCAACAGGTTGAAATATTAAAAAATATGTACACCTTTTGCATTAGAGTTTCATCTTACCACTCGGGGGTCCATTAAAGTGCATGTAGGAGTTATACTGTTCAATGGAGGGCTCTATGGAGCAGGCCAGCTCCTCCTCCTCCACCTCGCTGTTGAGGGAGCTGTGTGTCCCGTTGGTGAAGGAGCACACGCTGGGCTCCATGCTGCTGCTGGAACCCCTGGTGTCAGACCTCCACCTCTTGTTCACCATCAGCAGCGTCGGGTCAGGCCTCCAACCTTAGACAGTAAAAAAAAGAGAAAGAGTATGACACATGCAGTGAGAAAAAGGTGCAGTTCTTTTTTAATGAGCCCTGTGTCTTGCCATAACTTGCCGTGGATGTATTTGGTAAAAAATACTTTATTGAATCTTATGGAAAGGCTGTTCTTGTTTATATGAATGTATACACAGGGATAATACATCACATTCATTTGCTTTCAAAGGACACTATGTACATCTTACACCCTTGAAATGCATTCAAAGGTGTCACTGTCATTGTAGACAAAATGTTATAAAAAAATTAAATAAAGTTATTTTGCTACCACTACTTAAATTAAGAATAAAGAGGACAATTAAAAGAAAGTAGTGCAAACGTTAATAATTAAAATGTGCTACATAAAAACGTAGCATTATTCGGAGATTGTTTAAGGTTGCAAATAGGTCACAAATATTCAAATTACTTTCACAACAAGGCGAAGTAGATTGCTAAAACAATCGGGGTCAGACATTTTTAACATATGTTCAAAAGTAACATTTGTTACAAGAGTAAACTGTATAATTGTAAGGGACTATTATCCACTGCGGCGTGATACACACATTTGGGTACACTTGTGAGTATTTCTGGTAGTAACGATGAATGTGGGATACACTTGCATATTTCTACACAAAATAAGTTGTTCTGAAATGGCACAACCCTTTGATCTTGATTCAGATATTAAACTTATTTGATAAAGTATGTCTTCGTAATTCCTTTCAGAATGTGTGAAAGAGAAACTTTGGGATTCATTTACATACACAAACAACTTTACAACACACTACAGGAAATGGACAATTAAAAAAGCATAATAGGGCCCCTTTAATTTATCTTTCTTTGTTTAAGTGCTGTAAAAAAAAAAAAAAGGACATTTCTTGTTTGTGAAAATCTAATCAACAATTAAAAGGATTTTGATTTATCTGATTCTATATCTGTACGAGTTAATGAAGAAACATGTTACCCAGTCAAACATTGATGTGCTTTTGGTAGACTCATTGGAGCTCTAAAGAACAGATGAATAATATTTATCAGGCATTGCGTTCGTAAAGGGAAATGTTAAAAAACAGAGAATATCTCCACCCATAACGTAAAAACGATTCACTACGAACACAGCACATTTCACATCACAAAAACGCTACAGCTAGAGACAGTACCTTTTTCCTCCTGCCCCTCCTCGTCTTCGTCCTCTGTATTGTCTTCTTCATCTCCATTATCCTCTTCCTCACTTTTCCTCCAATCACTACTTTCCTCATTTCTCTCAACTTCACTATTTTCCTTACTCCCCCATGCCTCCTCGCTACTGACACTTAAGCCATGAACAGTGCTGTCATTTTCATGGACGTTCTGTATATCATCCCACAGATCCCCATAGCCTGAACGATGAGGGAAACACTATTGATTAAGTCTTTATCAAAGTATTACATCACACAATGTTACTCTACACCAAACAGAGACAGTACACTCAGTGGACGGACCACGGCTCCGACAACATCTACGCCAAGCAAAAAGCCAACACACTGACCAACTACAGCACATACGTCACAAATTACACACTTCTTTCATTTACATTTTTTTTATTTCTTACACTTCCTCAGGTTAAATCCAAGGACAATGTACACTTATCACTTTTGAGCTATTATATTAAACAATGAAAGCAACTTAATTAGGTTAAAATAACCTTGTACTATGGGATCTATCAACTCTAGAGCTACTGCAAACACCAAAGACTTGCCTTCCATTGTCGGCTTCTTAAGCTGCCTGTTCAGCTCATCTAGTGATAAAACACAAGTAAGACAGGCTCAGAATTTAAAAAGATGTCATCTGTGTGTCTAACAAAGAGGATGAATAGCAGTGCTACGTATCACTCGAGCAGCAGTGCTCTCCATGGATGGTATTCTGCTTTCATCATGGCATGGCTGATTTTGTACACTACCTGCATGATTTGCAAAAGGCCTGGTGAAGGGTCTGCTGTCCACCTCATGATCTTCAGCTTCTCCTTCTTCTCTTTCTCCGTCTGTGTAGAAGTTGCCCAGCTTCTGCACCAGGTCGGACACTTCATCTGAGATTGGGATGGTCTCCAAAATCTGAAAACACACAAAAGTAATAACTGTAAAGCTCAAATATGCAGAGTTTCAAGTTGTGACAAAAACACAAGCAACACTTTCAATAAGGCACCAGAAAAAAGTAAGGAAGAGAAGGAAAAGTAGCCTTATAGACCCAGAGAAATGGTCCGCCTATATAATTACACATTATAAATAGATACAGGGTGATAGGGCCGCACACTTTTCCCACTACAATATGTCATGAAAACCAACGTAAAGAGAGGTGTGTACAGTAATGAATGTTGCCTTTTTTCAATTTGAGTTTTTTTTTTTAATGGACTTACCATCTGGATATCCTCAATATAATTCTTCATGGCTTCCTCCTTTGTCATATTTCCTAAAGAGCTCCATGCATCCCTGGTAACACAAAGTGAACACTGAAAGACTAAACATATGCAGTTGCAGCGATGTTCAATTTTGGAAAAAACTCACTAAACTATTAAAAGCTGTATTTTACTGCAGGATTATCCATGAGATATACCCACACCATTTTGCAGTAGCAAATGTTTTTTAAATGAGCTATGACGTTGGAGAATTGGTATTTCAGGCTTGTTAAGCCCCTTTGCAAATAAACAGGAAGTGAGACTGATAGTATAAAATGATAGTGTACAACATGCAAAATACACAAACTGTCATTCGACTGTGTGGCATGAGCAGTACCTCTTAATTAAATCAATATAAGTACCATTTTTCTTTTCCATGAGAGTCCCAGAATCCATTAGGCCTGGGGATGTCGCATGGCCCTAAGGTGGCCTGCTTATAGTAACTGCAAAACATCAGCAACATGTCATCAGAGGGCTGGAACGGACCTGAGAAATGAAGAGAATTATAAAAGATGTTAATTCATGTTTTTAGCTTATCCCTATCTATTAGAATATACATAAATTAATATATTCAAACATTAGACTTTAGGCATTTTTTTTACAAGTGTGTTAATTAAATAGGTTTTTGTGCATGTAAATGGTCTGCAAAGGCGTAAAATCCCTAAAGTTCCCTCCAGAGGGAATTTATCTCCCACATACTCCCCCCCTGCATGAAACTTCTCCATTTGACTCGTTTGTTTTCTTCTGTAACATAGTGACATCACTACTTAACACTCACACTTCTATTGGCTAGCGCTCCAACACATTGTACTCAATAGCCTATAGGGGCGGGACATCTCTAAGTGTTTGACCGATCACAACAGACTGGGCTCTGGTTTCACACAGAGTGTGAGAAGTTTGAGAAAAATAAAGACCTTTTAGAAAATGTAAGCATGTAAACATGTCATAGTAGAGGCACAACATACAAATTAGCATAATATGGCCCCTTTAATATGGTAGTTGAGTAAATGTACTAGAGTCAGGTAAAATATGCAGATCAAAAGTTTGGCAGAACTCATGGCATACAGCCTATACACTTGTTCCCTTGGACAACCTTTTAATTGAAACCAACCAGCGTCGTAAGACATTAGTTCCGACTTCCAGCATCCCTTTTTTTCTTCTGTTTTCCAGTATTATTGCTCAAAAAATAATTTCCAACACAAAAGAAAAAATAGATTTGCAAGGCAGCTTGACATTTTTTTTTTCTGAGACACAACACGCGCTACAGGAGTTGTTATTGAGAAACTACATGTACAGTTAATCAGCTCTTATCCTTATAGCAGCTTTGTCAATAGAGGGCCAGACAGGAGCTCTGCATGTAGGTCAATCACCTGTAGTGTTTACACACAAACAAGCACCGACACAACATACAGCAAATAACTCAAAATAGAACCCTTCATTCATAGAATTGGACACAGTAACAAAATAAGTCCTCACCATCTGCAGGCAAACTCCGGATCACTTTAACTGCTGCTACAAATTTCGCCTCCAGGCTGTGTCTGTCCTCCTCCTCCTCCGCCATGCTGAGTCCCAATACGTAGGAAATGAAGGAGTCCTCACATCTTGAACATAAATATAAAGCAATTAATGAGGAGATAGTGCAAAACGTCAACAGGGAGGGACACTTGCACACAATTTGCCATCACTGCAGCTGGTTGCCACTTGTGTTATCTAAGGAGGAAGACTGTTTCCTCTGTAACCTGGGAGATGTTCGGATAAATCTGGTCTAATTAGCCCTAGTCGGTTCAGAGAGAATACACTATATTATGCTTTAACATGAAGGATTCCTGATGTGTTTGATTTGATAGACACTCACCACAAAGATAATATTCGCCGGTGCTCTAAATATTCCATTAGCCCGGTGTTTATCTGCAATATGTAGCAGAAAGCCAATTCCGACTCGGGTCAAGGATGAGCCAAGCTGTCAACGTCTTGAATACTGAAAATATCTGGGAAATGTAGTTTTTATGAAACAAAGCTTCGGTCAAATGTGTTTAAAACGTGACGTTGAATCCTTCATGTCCCACAAATCCCTCTGTGCCGGGATTTAAACCGCGGTGGTTTATGGGAAATGTAGTGTCGTGAGGTTTTTTCTTGTAGAGTAAGCATAACAGTAAAATATGTTAACACACCATATGTTGAAATACACTACACGGACTTAAGTACATATTTCAATTTTAATTGTGCACTTTAAATGTTGAGTCCTCTGTGGGTATTATGTAGGTTGATACATAAACGGTAGTGTAGAAGTTTTATTGTAAAATGTTATCTTTTTATTTGATACAAATTACCACAGTTTAAAAAAAGTCATTAATAATGTAATAGGCTAGTACTGTTCTGTTTATACCATGTTCAAGGCTTCCAAAATGTTATTAGGATATATATATATATATATATATATATTCAACTTAAGTTTATTAATTGTGATGACTATTTAAAGGACATATGTGATGATAATGTTGGTGTAAGTTATCGTTATGTTACTATGAAATTATCTTCAATTTACCAGGTATACACTCTTCCTCAGTGCCACAATGCAACATACAATATGATTAAGCCATGAAAAGAAAAATACATAAAGTTCTGCAAGAAATTATTTTACACAAATTATTTTAAAATAATTATATGAAAAATGTCATGCCAATAATAGAAAAACACATTATAATTAATGCTATTATTATAACATTAGTTTTTATGGACTCACACGTCATCATGGTGAAATGTCATTGGTCTGTTACTCTTCTCCTCGGCCTCTCGGCCAATCACCGGCCGACGTTTGTGACGTAGCTGCCATTTGTCACAGGCTGTTGTGAATCGGAGGCCAGCGGCCCCACAATGCCAGGCGGGGGAGCCCCTCTCTCAGCGACACACCAGAGCATCACCGCCTCGCCTCAATGAAAAGGACAGAGAGAGGAGAGAAATGCAAAGGGATGTAAGATGGCAGAGCTACAAATGCTATTAGAGGAGGAAATCCCTGCCGGTAAAAGAGCGCTTGTGGAAAGCTACCAGAACCTGTCCAAGGTTGCGGAATACTGTGAAAACAATTATGTTCAGGTAAGAGATGCCCAACCACCGTTAAATGTGGTAATTGTATCCGCTCTCTCCGTCGTGTCTGCGGTGCTGTAGTAGAAGTGAGTAAAACCACAGGGACAGGAAATGCTGGTCCTAACGAAAGGGATCCTTAAAACCGCTATCGACACGTAGTGGCCTTTTCTCCCGGTATAATAATTCAGTCGTGGCTTAGTGCAGTGTTATCAGGCATGGCTGCATTTCGGTATTTTCTCTTTTTTAGCTAGTCCTTGCGGTTTACCGGAGACGTGCTCACATTTAAAGGCTGTGTGTTGAAGGCTGCTGGGGGCTTACAGAGGGTGTGTCGTTGTTATGACCAAGTGGTTTTGTCACATTCTCTGATAGGTACCTCTGACAAAATAATATTCCCCCCTGCATTTTTATACATTTCGACATTAGCGTTCATTTTCCTTTTTTGCATGACAGGCGTTTGGTCCACATAACGGCGTTATAAAGCAAACACCGCCAATGAAATCTTTAAAGAGACATTTTTACTCGTGAAAAATATAAAAACTAACACTTCCAACACTGTAAGTAACATGTTGTGTGTGTGTTATTACCCTCTAAAAGCATTTAGAAACATACCATTAGTCCCTATAAACTGGGTTTAACTGTAGCATGTTTAGTACAGACCATACTACGACTACCCTACTCACTAGTCATGCTATAACGATTTCCCATTAGCCATTAACATTAGGATCTGTACGTTGTTTATAATTAGTGTATCATTATATTATTAATAGACTTCTAGGGGGAAACGACCTAGATGTGTAGTAAAGCTGCTCATGATGCAGACATATCATGTGTTTGCTGCTACAGTGCTGACAACATGGCTCCAGATCATGTTAATGGATCATTTGCTTGTAATCAAATGCATTGAGGTGCAGGCGTCTGCTGCTTTTTGCATATTAGGATTGAATGCTAAATCAGGGTTAGTGAAAGTATGAATCAGAAGCACAGTGTGAACACGTTTGATTAATGATCTATTTATTTAATGCAAGTAACTGTTTTAAAGAGGGTAATACACCTTCAAAATAATGTTATACGTGTAGCAGCAAACACCAACATTTTCCAGATTGGGGGTCTTCTTGGGGGTCTCCATCGGACAAAATCTCATTGATCCTAGAGCGTATAAAATATTGAAACAATTTGGAAGATTTCTAGCCAGAAGAGTTCCTCACAATAAATCTCATCGCTCTGTTACATTGCCACAGTGAGAATTGTTTCAGTTGAAGTGGAGTGTGAGCTAACATATATCATCACTAGGTTAAATGATGAAGTGTGAACAGCAGCGTCTGTTGACAGAAACCCTACTGTGCTCCAGCATGGTCTTTTTTATTGATTCTGGTGCTGAGAAAGCAATGCAGGTTACACTGCTTATATACTGTATTATTGTGCAGAAAGTTACCCGAGAACTTTAATATTAAGCTCAAAGGTATTGCTGTTATGACATTTTATTTAGGTCTCACAGTTACTGCCTTTGTGGTTAGTTCGGTGGAAATGTTGTATCTTCTGTTGCTAAACGTATCTATTATTAGAAGCAGTGGGTTAGAGGTTAAACCATATGGCTGATTTATTGATTATTTTTTTACATGTTCCCTAGGGGATGTTTAACATTTCAGTAATTTTGATGATTGGATGGAAATAAAATTATAATCTTGGTTGAGTACATCTTGTGAAAACACCTGGTTAATAACTTGACCCTAGGGGGTTAGCACAACTGTCCAAAAAAAGGATGGCTTTCCGTCGTAGCATCCTAACACAATGTCCCTTCTCATGACATCTGATTACCCATGTCTGTAACCCAACATCATAAAGCCATACATGATACTGTGTATATTGTATGAGTGCCATGATATTATAAAAGGTCCAGAATATCCAGTTTTTTTTAAAAGAGCTGCACTTATGCAAATAATTCCAAATAAGTTTAATTAACCCTATTTAAATTTTGTAAGATTTGTCAGGAAGATATAAATTTTTAGGCAACACACAGGGGTTTATTTTCTTTGAGAAAATTAAGTTATTCCATTGACCACATCCTATACTATTTAATATGCTTAGGTTGTTTCTTAATATATTTATGAGAAGTGGATGCATGGTGCTTATCATGCATATGCATAAGGAAGGCTGTGCCGTAGTGGACTAGTGCGTTGGTGTTGGGATCAAGGGAGCACAGGTTCAAACCCCACTGCAGTCAGGTGTGCCTTTGAGTCCTGCAAGACACTTCACCCCAAATTGCTCCTGTAGGGATTGCCCACAGTATTGAGTATGTAAGTCACTTTGGATAAAAGCAATGTAATGCATCTCTGGTGATTTCCAATACCATGTAATGTAGTCTCATTCACGTTCTGCAATATTTACAATATTGCCTGGAATATTGAAGATGCTTGAATGTTAGTGCTGCAGCATGACCATTTCTTCAGGGATAGTAAAAACATTAACTCGGATTGTGCATGCATAAGAACACACTGGACCATCACAACAGTGAGTTACTGTAAGAGTGAGGAAGCGGTACATTAGTGCACTAGTGGATGCATGTAACAACTATATTCTAAACACTCTTCTTAGTTTAAAATTTAAAAACGCAGTTTATACATTCACCATTGACCTGCATATCAAAAATTGCTCAAAATAACACCCAGGCAGCGCATGCCTTGATATGTAAATCTACTCCTATGTTGGAAAAAAGACGAATTTTATTCTTGGATTAGATATTTGAAGTAATCCATTTTAAAAGCTGTCGCCGACAAAATGATTTGTGGGCATGAAAGAAGAACTCTGCTTTGTTAATACCCTTCGAAATGCCTTTGTATATCAAAATAGCACCTCTTAGATGATATCCGGTGTAATATTGAACAGTGCTGTTTTTGGATTGACCCGTTCAAAAATGCTAGATCTTAAAATGAACACCACTTTAATGTTATTCAAGTATGAGCTTTGCATATCAAAACCACAAATGTGCAAATCAATATGTATGAGTGGCACTTTTTAGATCGACCAGCCAGTATCAGTTTTGGTTTCCAAGTTAAAGAATACAGTTGTTCCTCTCAATTTAGTGCTTCAGGGATGATGTATTTCTGTTGGCAGTTCAAGGCCTCCCTCTACTTCAATCTTCCATTGGCTTTTGAATTTTATCAGAAAAATAGCTCAATAGCAAACAAGTATTCATACTTACACTTTTTGATTGACATGATAATCTCAACATATTAACAATACCTTATGATTTTTTAAAACAAAAATGCAATTTTCAGAAATAAAAGGCTAACGTTTCAAGACAGTCACATGACTTCACGTCACCGCTAAGCTAAATGCTGCTAAGGTTCATCTTTATGACCTTTAGTGGTCTCACTTGGCCACATGTTAGCAACCATAGTTTTTTATGACACATAGGCTTTAGATATTGTCGTAAAACACAAATATGAACATCTTGTAAACCTGTAAAACATTATTTTAGGAATCTAACCAAAATATTTTTAAAAAACAGTTGACAGTTCGGGACCAGTGAACCTGAAGTGCCAACATTCCAACATATTTCCGCATTATATTCCTACACCACTCTTTAAAAAGATGTATGAGTAAAGGGGTGTTAGATGGAAACCCATGGATGTACTTAATAATTCCCTGATGTTGACCCCCTCAGAATTCCTCACCCCCGGCTGCTCACATGATACCCCTCTGACTCACAGCCATTCATCATGACTCATGAGGTTCAGGAAGGTGCCAAACCTGGAGCTCAGTATGACCTGGCACCCAGACATTTCATTACTTCAGTGCACTGTTAAAGTTGAGTCTCACAAAAAAGAAGTTCCAAGTGAAGCTCTTAGAAGAAGCCTTTTGTAAGCTTAATATGAAACATAATATCTGAAAGCAGGAGAGATAATCCGTATACAGAATCGAGTATTCACCTAAGCCGTGTAATAAGCATGTTTATATATATATCCTTCAGTAAAGTGGCTCCTTGCAATCAGTTTCAGTAGTCTGTGTTCATGGCTTTGGAAACATTACTCAGCATACCTGGGGATTTCTGCAAACCACACTAAAGCTGGTACATTTGTGTATTTTTTCCCCCTAATTTTAGTATGCGATGGCAAATAAGTCAGGTTAAGGTGGCACAGTGAGCATATTTACTACATTATACAATAAACAGGCATTGTGAAAGACATCACATTCAGTAAGATTTACGATACTAAAGACTTTGGGGCTGCAGGTGGTTTCCAGATGGGCAGATGGCCCTTTTTGGTGACATGATGCAGGCTGTTAACCTCCTGTTACCACACACGGACCAAATTGTTGCTAGGTAACAGCTGGTTGATGTCTTTGTGGCATTCATATGATTTTAGTTTAGAGCCTATGGATATGAAAATATTCAAAGTGACTGATAAGCAGTTATAGATCAAACTATGTGGGTAAGTAAGGCTTTTAAAGGAATAGCTTGACATTTAAACATTTTTTTTTGAGGAGTGTTAGATGGGGGGATTGACACGGCATCGGTCCATTAAGTATTAAACTACAGCCA